TGTTTATTGTGAAGATTCCAATCAAGATTGTAGTAAAGTTCAACTGTTTCGGTGCCCGAAACACAAACCAGTCGTTAGAGAACCAGTCGTTAGAGAAGCTGCAGAATCAACAAAACTGCGAATCGTGTACGACGCGTCTGCACGAGCACACTCCGAAGCACCCAGTTTAAACGATTGCCTGAATGCTGGACCACCGCTACAAACCGCTTGTGGGACGTCCTGGTTCGTATGAGATTCCACCCCGTTGCATTGACCGGTGACTTGAAGCAAGCATTTCTCCAAGTACGGATTAAACAAGCAGAAAGGGATGCACTCCGCGCTTTCATTGGAAACCGAACGATCAAGCAGCAGTCGAAACGTTAAGATTCACTCGGGCACTGTTTGGTCTGACATGTTCACCCTTTCTACTCGGAGGAGTCATCGAACACCATTTGGAGTCGTGGGAAGCTCGAATGCCAGAAGACGTGACCTTATTGGCGAAAAGACGACCGTAGCGAAATTGCAAACCTTCAAGGACAGAGCAACCGAGATATTTCGTGACGCAACCTTTACCCTACACAAGTGGCATTCAAATGCACCAGAATTGGAAGAACCAGCCATGGAACCAGCCTTAATTTTCTTTTTTTTTTGGGGGGGGGCAATGTTCGTTAACATTTTGCTGAATAATGGATATTTCATTAATTGTAGCTAATACAGTTAGGGGCCGACCATTTAACTTTTGAGGGGGGGGGAGGGTGATTTACTGCTCGCAGAGAATTTTTTTCTGGGATCGTTATGTGCAAGTTTTTTTTTCTGTCCCAACACCATGTACGATTTTTCTTTTATCACTCTCTCTTTCGCAGCATTTTTTTTTCAATAGCTTATACTATTTAGATTCTTTAATTATATAGTTAACGTTGAGTTTTCTAGCTTCATGCATTGCTTGGCCTCTTTTAAGGCAGGGCCGTAGAAAGCTCTTTTCGATTGGGGGGGGGAGGCGGAAAGCGAGGCCGACGACCCGAGGTAATTTTTAAATTTAGAGTCTCTGAAATGCCATTTCCTGGACTTTGGTGGAAGACTTGACAGAATTCTGATGGTTAGAAAACAGCGTTTTAGTATGTTGAAATTTACAATTTAGTAGTACTAAATGGGCGAAGACGTATTTAATTAACTATATATTGGATAAGTTGCAGGAAAGTATGGGTAATATCTTCATTCTTTGCAGTTTGTCATGGATTAAATGATAAAGGTCTGCATGATTTTGAAAAAAGAATGATTATTAGCAAATTATTGGGGGGGGGGGGCTGCAGCCCCCCTGCCCCCCCGGTTGCTACGGCCCTGTAAGGATGTGTAACTGGAGATGACATATTTAGCGGGGGACCTGGAGAAGTTCCAGTCGGCAAGTCTGTGTCGCTGCAGCTACCTGCAGCATATATATGCATGGTTTAACTAATAAGTATGCGCCATAGGGCAGCAGATCAGGCCATACCTAGGATTCTGAGACAACCGAGTCGACCACCAAAGATGGAAGCCTCTAGAGGGGTCTGGGGGCATGCCCCCCCCAAAAATTTTGGATTTCTTGAAGCTCAGATAAGCTATTTCCAGCACTTTGAGGAGTTTTCCAACAAGAAATTAACCGTATACTTGTCCCTGAAAATCAAACCAGCTGATCTTCTGGGACTGGTCAAATCGATCCCTGCAACCATGCTGTTTTGCAACATATTTTTCCCACCAAATAATGGGGCAGGATATTTTTTCCCCCCAGTTTGTTAGTGCAGGTATTTTTTTTTGTTCAGAATGGCCTTGCAGGAAATTTTTTTTCAAAATCACCCACCCCCTCCCTCAAAAGTTAAATGGTTGACTCCTAAGGAAACTAGCTAAAGAGCTACGATCCTTTGGGGTTAATCTCGCTTCAAATCTTGCTGGAAAAGTTTATTTATCATGAAACGTGTAGCAGGAAAATCGGATACACCGATTGACGAAGACCTTATGAAGAAGTGGTTACTATAGGAACAGAACCTTCCAAAACCAGTGGTGTCAAGTAACGAAGTAAATGTACTTCGTTACTGTACTTGAGTACTATTTTTGAGAAGTTAGCATGTAACAAAGTAAACTTTTTCTGGAGTACTTTTACTTGGAACGAAGTCGTTTTAAGACTTTTTTACGTTTTACTTCGTTATTTTCAATTTGTGGCTTTACTTTCTAACTTTTGTTTTAATTTTCGTGATTTATTTCAATTTTGGGGTAGCTAATAGGACCTTTACATGCGTCTGGGATCTCTTGTTTGTGGCTTACTTATAAGCATTATTTATTTAATGGATTTCTTATATCTTCAACGGGGTCTGGAAAGTAGACCATGCCGTGAAATATTGTATATTAGGTTTCACTGGATAAATGGCGGGGTAGAATTCAAGCAATTCGTCGCAAATCGAGCGGGGAAGATTAAGTCCAATACTCAGCTTGAATGGCGTCACGTACCCACCAAAGAAAACTCAGCCGATTTAGGGAGTAGAGGTGTACCTGTACAAGAAAATCAACTCTGGTGGAAAGGTCCTGAATGGCTAGCTGACCGACAGAACTGGCCCCGTGACATCATTACCTCAGCAACGAAAGAAAGCGATGCTGAAACCAAACTAATTCGCCAAATCTTCGCAGCAACAGTTGAAGAAACCAGCAAAGTTGAAGAATTACTCTCCAAGTTTGACCTATGGAAAACCCTGAGAATCTGTTCCTGGATAGCAAGATTCGCGTTGAATTGCCGTAATCGTAACCAAAGAATCAGAGGACCACTGACAGCGGCTGAGATAGAGAGTCAACGTCTCCTTTGGATAAAGCGTGCCCAATCGAACTGTGATTTAGAAGAAGACCGGTTACGACTAAATTTACAACCAAACACGAACGGTATTCTAGAATGTCGGGGTCGAATTCAAGGACGTTATCCCATTTATATACCTGACACAAACCTCTTGGCGACAAAGTTAGTAGAAGATTCTCATTCGTGCACTCTTCATGGGCGAGTCGGCATGACTATGGCACATATACGAAGTAATTACTAGATTCCGAGATTGAGACAGTTCGTAAAGTAATAAAGAGTTGCTATGTGTGCCGTTGATTTTAAGAAAAAGCCTTAGAATAACCACCGCCAGGAATGCTTCCACTCGAGAGAACCGAAGGGAATACATCGACCTGTTATCTTCACTACACACCCAAGAACTCCTTCTGAGTCTTAAACGATTCATTGCGAGACGAGGGCGACCTGGAAAGATCAATTCAGATAATGGTAAAACGTTTTTAGTTGCCGCTAAGTGGTTGAGAACTGTTCAACGGGACGAGAAACTTCAGGACTTTCTCGTGAGATCTGAAATTCATTGGCAATTTAACCTTAGCCGTGCTCCGTGGTGGGGAGGACAGTTTGAACGACTAATCGGGTTGGTGAAACGTTCATTGCACAAAACTATTGGTGGTGGATGTCTGAAGTGGAAGGAGCTAGAGGAAGTACTTTTAGATGTGGAAGTGGTATTAAACAACAGGCCACTCCAATATGTAGAGGACGATGTTCAGAGACCGATTTTAACACCTAACTCGCTACTGTTTGTTGGGTCTAACGCTATTCCAGAACTGCAAGCTCATTACCTAGAAGATTTAAGTCCACATAAACGAGTACGATTAAGACGCGGTATGGCGCAGATGGCCGACAGAGAACACCCGAGGACTGCGTGAGCGACATAACCAAAAGAATGGTACAAAGAAATTAAAGCTAAGTAAGGGAGATGAAGTCATCATCAAATCGGACGACCGGAACAGAGCGAACTGGCCACTCGGTATCGTGGACGAGCTATATGCGGGGCGTGACGGAGTCGTGAGAGCCGTGAGACTTCGAGCTGGAACGAAATTCCTAGACAGGTCCCTAACCACCTTTACCCTCTAGAATTGATTGTCCTGTGACTGGAAAGTCAAAAAGGACATAACCCAGTTAAAGCCAGATGTTCCACCATTCAGACCTACGGAAGAAGCAGACATTGTTGAACTCAATTGAGAGGTGAACTTACTAACTTGCAAGGGAGCTATTATTTTGTTAAAGTATACTATAACTGAATACAGTCTCTTGTAGGCATATACCTCGACTAGCGAGCTATATGGGGGGAGAGTGTCGGAGACTGCCCATTATTATTATTATATATAGCATGTTATTAATTGTAGTTTGTTATATATAACGATTCCGATTTTAGGTTGATCAAACTTTTATATTGAACATTACTTTACATAAATTTTATATTAGTTAAATTTAGAGTATTATAACTACGTCGGTCAAGGTGGCAAATTGTACCAAAGGTTATACCAGCACTTTGACACCTTGTACCAAGGGGTACCAGCACATTGGCAACTTGTACCAAGTTGCACCAACTTGTATAAAGTTTGGGTCAATCTGTGCCTGTTACGAAAGGCAATACAAAATATCTCAACAAAGTTAAAACCATGGTCAGCTAGAATACTATATGTTTATGCGCATGTAGATTTAGCACAGAAATACTCCGTGGCATGGTCTGCAGGAAATTTTTGTCTCCAGGTTGTGCTCCCAGGAAGAATATTCTTTTTTCCTGCACTGATAAACTAGTTAAAATATACTTTATACTTGCAGAACATGGATGGTATGTTGGAAGAGCAAGCTCCTGATCTACCTGTGTTCGTTGATGGTAATTTTATTCATTACATTTATATTTAGCTGTAAGCAGTTTTGCCGCATGTTATTTACATTAAACAACTTGACAACTTTTTCCAGGACTGGAAAGTTCTAGAAAAACAAATTCCAGGACTGGAAAGTCCTTGAAAATCAGTAGAAGTCCTCGAAAGTCCTGGAATTAATTTCCTTAACCTCCAGCTGTGCCAACATTAGTGATTTTGATTAAAATGACTGAATGAAGTGAATTATTTATGGCAAATTGTAGTTTTAATTACGTTTATAGCGAACCGTCCACTGGCAAAGTTTTCCTGGCTTTGTTATATCACATTATACAACGCTAACAGCTTGAAAATTCCACTCAACTATTTAAGTTTTGTTAGTCTTGTTTAAGGTAAATGCTTTTCCATTTAAAACAAAAAGATAAAAGCCATATTTTCCAACCGAAGTCAACTTTTACTTTATGTAGCGCGGCGCCATGTTTGTTTTGTTTTGAAGCAATCTGTGACCGTTACTTCTTTAAACTAAACTGCTTTAAACTGATTGGTTGATTTTATTATCACATTGTTTTTCCACCAATCAGATCAGTTTGTACAGATTTTTGCACTGTGGTTACAGAAAATTGCACTGTGATTAAAAAAATTGCACTGTGACACAGAATAAGGAAGGTACAGCAGAAGTGTAACTCAAGCAAGTATTTGTCCGCTTTTTTACAAGCGATTCGTCATCAATCACGCCATCCTGGCTAGTACAACCGGCACTTTGTACCTACCCAAATCTGATAAAAACTTCCGGCTGTACTAGCCAGGATGGCGTGAGCGAGTTAAAATTTTCGTGGACGTAAAACAATAAAGGAACCGATTCAAGTTACACTTCTGCTGTACCTTCCTATTCTGTGACTGTGATTACAGAAAATTGCACTATGATCATAGGCAGACCAGTGTTATGGTTGCCTGCCTGCACGCGGGCGAGGCATTGTTGCTGCCGAGCCTCAGCGAGGCAGCACACTATTCTCGACGGTACCAGTCTCCGCGCGCCGAGTTTAGTAGACCAGCTTGAATCTCGATTTTTTGTGTTTGTATGTCAGCAATTCAGGGGGGTTACGAAAATTAATTACGCTTGCCGGCGCACAGGAAGTAGTGACAGGAAGATGCACATGTGTTTCTTTCATATACTTCAAATACACAACCTGACGCTGAACCAATCTACAAATTATGGCAATTGTTATCCGAGGGAATATTAATCAAGGCGATGACTGTTTTGATGTTAAGTCTAGAGGTAAACGGTGTGCCTTTAATAGTTTACTGGGGCTCTTAGCAGCCTATAAAAACCTTTTAGGCCGATCGCTTCTCATGGCCGAACGCATTAAAAACAATAGATAATCAGCTGATCTATTGTTCCTATAAATGTTTCGGCACATGAGAAGCACGACGTTTGAAATTAAAATATAGTATTTTATTATACTATGGCGACAAAATGTATTAATAAAAGGGATGAATAATCTTATCACTTGATTCACTTGCTTTCGGGTGTTGTGTATTTGTCCGTGAGAGACCTACGAAAACTTGTTATTGTATCGTGTTTGTAGAATGAGTTCAATTTCGATATTTGTTGTCGATTTGAGCAAAATATTGATTCGCCTACTGAGGCACGCAACATTGAACCGCCAATTGTGGTGAGTGATACTAAACTGCCTGTTGTGGTGAGTGATATTGAACCGCCTGTTGTGATGAGTGGTACTGAATTGCCCATTGTGGCTCAGAAAAAGTGTACCTGCTGACTCGACAAATAATCTCCTTAATGTTTTAAATAAAACATCAAATGTTACAACAAATAATGAGGAAGTAATTTGTGAAATTGACTACAAACAAGAACAGCAGGGGCTTTCAATTATTGATGAGGAAATTCCCTCTCCTCATTATAAAATGTGCATAGCAATTGCAATTGCAAATACATTTAAATATAAATATGCTTTTATGATATTGGAAAGCTACATCATCATGTTATACTATACGTTCTCGGCATCGATTCGCGGAAGTAAAAAAGCCTTTATTTTGTTTTCTTGTAATAAATTGTGACTACCACGCACGCTCGAATAACTCATGATAATTTCAGCCCTGGATTGAAACGATTACATGACAAACTTTTCAACCCAGGGCTGAGTTCAACCCCGGGGTTGAACTTAGCCCTGGGTTGAAAATTTTGTCATAGTGTAATCGCGTGTTTGATTTTGATAGAGTTTTGTATTACAGACAGGGCTGAAATTTCAACCCGGTAAACAGGGCTGAGTTCAACCCCTGGGTTGAAAATGCTCCATGTAATCGGCCCCTTAGACTTGGGGCCATCCCAAGTCCGTTTCTCCCTACTTTTCGCCTGAGATGGACTTGAAACATTTGTAGCATTTTGAATGTTACTTGCAAAAATTGGCACGAAAATTTGTTGTTGTTCTCAACTCGCAAGCCACGCCTCTGTGGAAAAATTTAAAAAATCCGAACTTTTCTCTCATATTTTCGTGCCTTTTTTGACCACTCACATGCATTGCTATTTTCAACCTCTTGAGAGACGGACTTGAACCAAGTCTAGTATTTCTTTAACTGTTTAATATACTGTATGATATTGACATTTTCAAGAAAAATCTATTGTGGCCACAAGAACTATTAAATGTTTTGTTGATATTTGTGTTTTGTTGATATTTTGATCATGGACTTGGTGTATTGAAAGTCCATATCAATTAAAGTGATTTTACATATCCGTTTCACTGTAAATTAAGTTGTTTCCTCGCTAACATGTGCCAATCGAGGCAGCAATTTCCTTGCGACAGTAACTC